GGCCAGCGCCCCTCTCGCTGCGGCCTGCCCGCCCCCGGGTCAGCGGCACCCCCCGGGTGGGCTTTGCTTGGAGAAACTTCCCGCTGAGCAGCGTTCCGCAGCGTTGTCCTTAAAAAATAATAAGAGATAGATGGATATGGAGAGGGGGGGTAATTGGCCACGGTGCTCCGTAAATTGTACATTTAAACAATGACATAGTTTTTCCACTTCGTTTGGCAAGTTTTCCTCCCGTAGCCCATCCCTCCGTCAGTCTCCCTGCGTTAGCTGACAGGTTCCAACGGCAGTGGGGAGGAAGACGGTCTGCTCGGGGGGCGGGAGGCAGCTCCTCGCAACAAAACCAGCTACGGCCAAGGGGTTTTAAACATTAACTTTCCAGACCGAGCTTATTTTCCTTGAGCTGAGGTGGGCTCTTCCCCCCCGCTTCTTAAATAACGAGGGTGGTCCCAGCATACTCTATATCAAGACAGCTTTTCATCAGTTGCTCATCAGCATGCTAATTGCTGTATGACTAATTATGCCCTGAATTCCAGTTGATTTTCTTAATGAGACAGCTGGGTTAATTATGTAATCGTATGATTACATTAGCCTAGAGTGCCCTGGCGAAAAGTAACGCAGGCAGGAGTGTGATGTCATTGCACGAGCAGCGCTCACAAGGGGGTGCATTCATTTCTGCCTAATGACAGGGGAGGGCAACGGTACCCACAGTGCTCTTTGTGTAAACACTTATATTGAATTATTGAGATCTGTGTCTTTTTTCAGCTCGCAGAATGAGGGAGGAATGGTTTTTTTTAAACGAAACTCACTTTGGAGATTCAGCCGGTCATCGATAGTCCTGTTTTACCTCCTGGGTTGAGGTTGGGTTTGGTCTGAGCAGCGTGGGGTTGCGGGTGGTGAGGTGCTGCCTCTAGCTAGTCACGTAATGCGCTGTTTTGGCGAGATCCGTCTTTGTGGTCCTTTTAAAATTGTTTGTAAAATATGTAGTTTACATGCATACGCAGCAGCAACAAAAAATTGGTTCTCTTGCGCTGCTGTTCAAAAAAGATTTATCATCAGGGCATCTGTGTGGTGTGAGAATAGTCTGAGAGGTGTTACTGCGGCTGCGTTGCACTAGCTTGTTTGATGTGAAGTATTAACTGCTATAAAAATAATGTTACATTTGTAACCTTAATTTTTTTTCACGTCTCTGTTCATTGAGACATGTCCATCCACCTCCTTTATGAGGACAGAAGCTCATCTGCAAGGGGACCGGTGTGGTGTGTCACAGTGGTGAGCATAGGGTCGTGCTCAGGGAGCTGCTTGTGAAACGGTACCAAAAGGGCAATTCATTGGGAAGTAAAGGCAGGAACAGGCTTTGCAGATACTGGTTTTAAAATATAGCAGTTATTATTTCTCGTATGGTAGCGTGGAGGAAGCTACCATTGGGATCGGATCCAGGCATGCCGGGCTGCGTACAAACATATGATGCAAAGGGCTTCTTTGTGGGTATAGTATGCAACAAGTGGATTAGGAAAGTAGAACACAGTAGGAAGCGATAGAAAAAAATATACTAAATTTAGTATAAAAATAGACGTCTTAATTTACTCTTGGGCAATAATCTTGCTAAACACTTTTTAAAGTTCTGGATGAGCAGATGCCTTTTACCAATTTTCTCATTTCTTATTTATCTTGTGCCTAGCAGGAATTCTGAACTTTTGCAAGCTAGAGAAGAGTCAAACCAAGAGAATAATTTGTGATGAGTTTTCCACGTTTAAGTGTTAAGTGAGGTGATTTTTCTCTTTTACAGATTACAGAATAGGCATTTCCTTCTTTGCCTCTCTCCATAAGCTAGTACCACTTGATTTTTTTGAAATGTGTATGCCTGTTGTTTGTGTAATGAATAGAAAGTTTTGGTCCATTGCTTGTTTAAAAATTCAGTGACCTCCTGTTAAATGACATGAAACATACTTTGTAAGTCTGGTTAATATAAAAAGGTATGCTTTTTCATGCATGCATATGTTGGGAAAAGGAGAGTATTTTTATTTATTTTTAAATCCGCTCCACTCAGGTAAGAAAAAAGTTGTTCTGACTGTAAGGTTTATACTTGTTTCAGATTAATTGGTGTTTATAAATACTTCAGAAATCATGGGGTTTTAGTTTTTTTGAGATTAAAGAACGTGTTGGGGCTTGCCATGAGAAATGAAGCATTTGTGTCTCTGCTCAAAATGTCTTGGTCATTTTATTGTCATGCAATGATTATTTTTCTTTAATACAGTTTATAAAAATTAAGTCTAAGAGGTGCTTCAGCCGTGGGTTTTTTCTACGTGTCCTTAAGCAGTATTTAGTGGCTGCAGGCCATTAGTCCTTCAAATGGGCTCTAGTAAAGTTTGAAGTTTAATGCACAGAGACCGTTTTTACATTTTGTTTGTTCTGCCACTGTTTTGCTACTTGAACATTAACCTTTAATAGAGCTAAATTAAATATACATGTCCTGATGAATAATTATGAGATTGCAAGCATTTTCATTTTGTACATAAAGCTTCTCGGGGACTGCAAATTTGACTAAAGGTTTGGTCATTATTCGCTTTATAATGCCCATGTTATTTTTGTCTTCTAATTCTTTACTGATTTAAATATAAAAAGCCCTGTGTATTTGGAGCAAAATACCTCTTGTGGGTGTCCTGGCTTTTTACAAGGGGCATGTTAAAACGAGGGGGAAAAAGTGCACCCACAATTTTCTAAAGTTCAATTTCTTTCATTGTGGCATTTTAACACTCTTTTATAGAAATATCATAGCTGAAGCGTAAAATCCCTGCCTGATATGTTTGGTGGTTCCTGTAACAATTTAAGACGCAGATAGATTGAGACAATCCAGCCTTTCTTTATGTTCAGCAGATGAATGTCCTGGGCTAGCTCTTTTGGAGGAATGCTGAGCTGCAGAAGTGTGACAAAACGGTCATTCCAGATAAAGGTCGGCAGACCTACATGGGAGAAGGGTGGTGTTGTGACAGCCCGTACCTTAATTGGACCATACATAAATATTGCAGGGCCTTTAACTCGTGCTACTGCTGTGACTTAAACTTTATATTTAATTCCTTACCTGTACCCCCTGTCTCTGCCACAATAACATTTTAAGTTTGATTTATTATAAATATTTTAATACAGATAATAATAACAACGAAAAGTATTTGGCCTAAAAAGCATAAATGAAAAAGCTATGTAGTCATAAACTATGTATGTACAGAGAACAGATGACAAGCAACCTAGATTTTGTATTATGAACAGGGTAATGCTATAAGCTGTTGAAGAACCGAAGTAACAAAATGCAGCAGGCTGCTACTTACAATGTCTCTGAGCTCAACATAACCCAGTACTATTCTTTTATAAACTATGAAACAACACTGGCATATTGAAAAAACATACAGGCTCATGCTTAATGTGTTAACAGAGGTACAATAGACTTATTATGTGTTTCCAGAGGCTGAGGGTGGTCTGAAAAATTAATGACTGTGGTGGTTGAAAATTAAGTGAACTCCCTAATATATACTGTTGTTGATCCACTGAGTTTGGTGTTTAGCATTCCTCAACAGGAGACTAAATCTTTGCAGCCATTTCATGGGAGATGCTGGCGCCCATAACAGAAATGTATTCAATAATCTTTTATAAGTCCATCGGACTCCAGCGTTTTCCTATTCTGACTGGGAAGAAGTCCCAGAATAAATCACACGTGCACATGTCAGGTGTGTGCTAAGGACTCACTTTACCAGAAGGGGATGAACATCAGAGAATTCATACTGAGAGGACATTCAAAATAATTTCTAATTTCTATTCGATTAGTAGTACAAGAGAAAGAAGGAACAAGAGTCACAAAACCCAAAGTTCATGGAATTAATTACACCCACACAATAATTCTGATTATTATTGATCTGTCAGTTAGAAAAAGTATAGCTTGGATATCCATGATCAAATGACCTTTTTGAGCTCAGCTATGCAGGAGGGCACAGTTTACTTCAGAAATTCACTCCTGCAGAAGCAGAGGTACATGAGGGACACCAGCTGTCAGTGAGCTGTGCAGTTTGATTGCTTTTTACCCAAAAATTCTCATTTTGCAAACAAAAATTTTAAACTTAAGACTCTGACATGGCTTCATATGATGACTGTCTGCACCCAGGGACACTGCCCTGTGGATTAACGCCAGGATGAAGAAGGCACACCCCAGTTTAAAGGCTAACATAGATAGGATGAACTATCTCTATTTTTTGAAGTTTGCAGTATATGAGGTGAGGAACACACAGGAATAATAACACAAAGTAGAGCCTTACTGGCGCTTAAAATGGATATTAATGGAGAAAAAAGGACACTTGCGCTCTAAACTGTGTGAGTCGCAGAAGTGTTCCTGTTATCTTACATTTTATTTTACTGTTTCTTTTTCAGATCCAGTTCCAGCCTTGGATTTAGGACAGCAGCTTCAGCTGAAGGTTCAACGTATGCACGATATTGAAACAGAGAACCAGAAACTTAGGGAAACTCTAGAGGAATACAATAAAGAATTCGCCGAGGTGAAAAATCAGGGTAGGTTGCAAATGCATTCGTTTATCAGCTTTTAATGCAGACTGGGATTAAATTCAGTTTTATTTCTTACGGGTAGGGTTGACAGTAGCATTGAAATTCAGTAAAGAAAGTATAATAGTCTATTATAGCCACTTCTGTATTTATGCGTATAGGTATGACTTTGGGTAGACTCCTTGGATTTCTTTAAAAGTTTCGTCTTCTGTAGCACCAAGTCAGAGAATGGAGCTGTTATTCTGCATATTCGATTGTAGCCTTCTGCGCTACCTGACTGAAAATTGCACCCCTGACTGAAGTTATACGTAGGTGTTTTATGAGAGACGGTGCTACTGCTGACAGCAAGCTGAATGTATGTGTGGGTGTGTGTAGCACATACTTTTTACACAGACATACACAAAAATCCAGTATTTTTTACACACATACAAATCTGTACAAAATGGAACTTTTTCTGTACTCCTGGTTTTCCTTGTCTAAATCTGAAACGTGTTACTGGAGTACATTCAGCATACATACTTTATATTTACTCTAGAGACTATCCATAGAGCAATGTAAATACAAGCTAATACTGTTTAATTGTTTAAGTAAGTTTTAATGAGACCAGAGTACATGAAAATACATGAAAATCTCAATGAGATTTAAAGCCTGTTGTGTTTAAGACTGTTCAAGTTTTTTTGTGATCCAGAAGAAAGTTTCCTGCACCAGGAAACAAAATTTGCTCAGTTGTACACCTGCTTGCCTATACATGGGACTTTTCATTTCCATGTTTAATACACAGTTCTGGGTGGTGGCAAGGTAAATTTTCCAGGCATTTGGGAAAATGTGTGGTGTGTTTCTGTTTTGTTTTGTTTTTTTTTATACTGTGGAACTGTTGCACCCACGTGGGTAACATTTGAAAGCTACATTAGCAACTAAGTTGGTTCTGTTACATCTCATTTTCAGCAGAAGGAGCATGTATGCAGTTACATATTTTGTTTTAACGTAGAGGGTGTGACCTTTGGAGAGGACAGGTATTGGCATGCAAGGATTCAGGCTGGACTGCAAAAGATGTCATGTTGGAGCTGTAATGCTCTAAGCCCGAGAGTATTTTTGCTGGAAATGTGCAATAATTGCTGTTCACTGTGCAGAGTTTTCCTGAGGCTGCGCATCCTGTACATCCAGCATGACATAGAGGTTCATCCCAGAAAGTGGAAAAGGTCTTGACTTCCAGAGTTTTTTGCTGCAACCACTCATAAACTGGCATTTTTTATTTCCCCTGGTGCACTAACTTCCTTTCTGTTTTGCCACTGTAGTCTTTGCATTGTTTTTCACTCCAGTGTAATAGTTTTACACTCTATTTCAAACAGGGATTAATAAGATATCCAGGGAAAAGCCTGTTGTTAGCGAAGGGTGCTTTGATCACTTAATCTCTTTGTTTGGAGGGCTGTGTAAGAGCTATACGGTTCCTGTAAGAACAACTTCCAAAACTGGTATAAATGGCAGTGGCTAACAAGCTTTAGCTGACGTGAACAGTAAAGAAGGCACTTAGTTCTTTGAGCAATGTAGAGGTTTAAACTGTGCTTGTCCAACACATGTATTGTTAGATGCCTAAAGGTAAAAACAGATTTTGTCACAAAAGTCATAATTTTTTCCCATATTTTGCGCTTCTTGCATTCATTTTTGTAGTTTTGTTTCCTTTTAAAATGAAACATTAAAACTTTGTCAAGATGCGACTATATGCATTTCCATGCGACTATTTAACTCTGTGCTTCTCCATATACCTGAATACTTCTGCACATTTGTGCTTTTCCGTATACCTGAATACTTCTGCAGATTTAGGTCTGAAAATACCTGGAGCAAAGGTGTCTCCAGTACAAAGAGTACATCCTTTGTACGTACGAATGAGCATCCTTTTGTCTGTGTGAAGGAGCATCCTTTGCTTATTCAGGAAAAGATCAGAATTTGTATTACTTCACGGGTCTCGGAGACGAATTTCCCTTTGCTTTAAAAAAAAAAAAGTGACATGTCCTTTTCACAGCCTGTTACTCAGTAATGAGCCTCATCTGATTTTTGCATGGCTAGCAAAACCCTGCTCCTTCATTCAACAGTAGCTGGTTTGCTGGCAATCATTTTTACCACTCTTACCCCCCTTTTTTGTGGCCACAGTGGCCCAAGCTGCCTTTCGTGTAGTTCCCAGACAGCGGACCTTGTCACCAGCTATCTGTTGTCTGGCTTTACAGTTCTCTAGTCAAGTCTGAAAGTCTAGACTTTGAAAGGATTGTGCATGGTTTTGCGTGATATTACTGAGATTTTTTTCCCCCAAGTTCGTAGGCTTTACTTTTCATAGTAGCGTTTGTCTTTCTGTGATGTTTCTGCGGAATGAGAAACTTTTTATGTCCAAAGGTATTTTTTTCCTAAAGCATTGTTAATGGCATCTGTTAATAAGCTGATGTCTTTAAACCACCGCATCTCTGTGTAAGTACATTGAAATGTATTGCTAGCTGCGAGTCTTCTGGCAGTCTAACGCTTTTTCCAAATTCCATTATTGTTACAAAGCATACTCTGGTGAATGTCCTGCTTTTCCTCTTATGAGCCCTGTAAGGATTCAGCCCTTCCCTGTGGGTGGGATCAAAGGGCTTTCACATAGGAACAAATCGGGGCACGTAACAAGATGCTGTCCATCAGAGGCTGTGCTGTAACTCTGCAGGTTTATGCATCTTGTGTCATCCATTACTGGGCACAGTAAATGCAAGATAGCTTCTTTATCTAGGAGAAGGGTTTCTGCAGATTCCCTGGAAGGCTACAAGTGCAATCAGAAAGTTACAATAGTTAATGCTTGTGCGTAAAACCCAGTGTCGATGACAAGGCGGTTAGAGCAACTAGAATATGAAGGGCTCCAGAGTGTCTGTTGAATCTGATCTACTGTTAATAGAGCAGTTAAATCTTAACTGCCATACTTTTCATCGGTTGTGAAGCAGAACATAGCTGTATCCAATACGTGTTCAATTAGTGTTAGATTGCATCTGTGCATGAACCATAGTAAAATTGCCTCTTTTTACATGAGCACAGTTATGTGAATTAACTGTCCTATGTGTAAATGCATGCTTAAACCTACACTGGGACTTTATTAATCTCCACTCAGCAGTGAGCTAATTTGAGACTAGTCAATAAGGTGATATTATATTTTACAATTGATTTTTTTTTCCCCTTCTTTTTTTTAAAAGTCATGTTAGAGGAACCTTCTTCGCTCTGCTTTCCAGCAAACTCCATTGATCCTTCTCAACCTAAACACTTAAAGTTCAATTTAACATTTAGGGAGTAAAAGGTCTCCAAAGGGACTCATATCCATTGATTTTGTGTCAGAGTTGAAGAGCTAAAGTTTAAAACACACTGAGCCTACAGGGTAAAGAAAGCCTTGTGTTGTGGAACCACGTGGAGCTGTGTAAACTCATTCATCCCCTATTGTTTTCCTGTAGAGACTAGAATATAAGGGCTCCAGAGTGTCTGTTGAATCTGATCTACTGTTAATAGAGCAGTTAAATCTTAACTGCCATACTTTTCATCGGTTGTGAAGCAGAACATAGCTGTATCCAATACGTGTTCAATTAGTGTTAGATTGCATCTGTGCATGAACCATAGTAAAATTGCCTCTTTTTACATGAGCACAGTTATGTGAATTAACTGTCCTATGTGTAAATGCATGCTTAAACCTACACTGGGACTTTATTAATCTCCACTCAGCAGTGAGCTAATTTGAGACTAGTCAATAAGGTGATATTATATTTTACAATTGATTTTTTTTTCCCCTTCTTTTTTTTAAAAGTCATGTTAGAGGAACCTTCTTCGCTCTGCTTTCCAGCAAACTCCATTGATCCTTCTCAACCTAAACACTTAAAGTTCAATTTAACATTTAGGGAGTAAAAGGTCTCCAAAGGGACTCATATCCATTGATTTTGTGTCAGAGTTGAAGAGCTAAAGTTTAAAACACACTGAGCCTACAGGGTAAAGAAAGCCTTGTGTTGTGGAACCACGTGGAGCTGTGTAAACTCATTCATCCCCTATTGTTTTCCTGTAGAGGTTACAATAAAAGCACTTAAAGAGAAAATCCGAGAATATGAACAGACCTTGAAGAACCAAGCGGAGAACATAGCCCTTGAAAAAGAACAAAAGTTACAAAATGATTTCGCGGAGAAGGAGAGGTGAGTGTGCATGTGTGTGTCTGTAGGTATTGTAGAGGAGGAGAGATGTATTTTTCTGTTTAATCTTCCCAGCCAGGACTTTCTCTTCAGTGTACTGAGACAGCTCATATATTGAGCGATTCTGGTGATTTATGTGTTTGACACAGAATCATTTGATACTCAACTTTGCACAGAAAAACAATTGTGAAAGTGTGGAAGTAAAACAAGGACAGATCGGTTCTTCACGGTAGTGTTGTGGGGGGGGTGTCACGTTCGGAAGGGTGCAAACCTGCTTTTATTCTTCACTAGCTGTATTGTCCTCTGTGACACTAATCTTTCTCCATTAGCCGACAGTGTAATTCAGTCTGCTGTGTCCGCTTTGTGTGTCACAGTACCGTTGTACAATCTGTACAACCCTGAGCTGTTTAAGATGAAACACTGTACCCAAGAGCCTGGGTAAAAGATGCATCACCCCTGCTCCTATGGTAATGTCTAAGGGAGAGGATGTGTTCCTGAATTATCCTGAAAAGGTTTGCATATTCCTACATGTCAAAATTAAGAAGTATTTTAATTATTTATTAATGATTTTTGCGAGCATCTTGGATGCATTTCTAATCTTTTGCAAATGAGCAGGGAGTGTTTGAATCTTATAGGTTAGTGGGCAAACAAATCAGGCAGGACAAGACCAAGGGTCTTAGGGAGTTCTTTCAGGCTGCGTTCCCTACCCTGAGAATTTATTTCTCCCATGGAGCAATAACACTGAAGCTATAATATGTTCAACTTCGTGTGGAAGCCCTTCAGTTTACATGAGCTTTTTAGTTGGTGGGTTCGTTGTTTAAATTCAGGTCTGAGTGGGAAGAATCTACCGGTGAATGCAAAGCTTTTTTTAATTTGTCAATATCTGTAGTTACTTTTTGATAAGTAGCATGTAAGCGGTGGCTTTAACAAGTGCAATTTAGATATGCTTAAAATAAAATGGCAGGTCATGGAATGCAAATAAAAGTGTGTAAAAGAGAGGTTTTGAGTTCTCAAAGTATATAATTTGGTATGAAGGGAACTGACGCACGTTTCTCGCTATAAATAGTTATTAACCTGGTCAGTGGTGTTGGAGAATAAATTTATGCACCCTATGGAGCGCAAGTAGGATGCTGGTAGTTTCATAAGCCATTTCACAATTCTGAAATCTGCAGAATATCTTAAAAGCAATGTCGTAAAAAGCAGCAACTCCTGGGAGATGTTGGAGCAACTCCCTTTCAAAGATGGGTTTTATAACTCCTGTAGTCTAGCCTTTAGCAAAGAGTGTAGTGACTGCATGGTCAGATGATGTTAAAATGTGTATAACTGACGCAAACAGGAAAATATTGCCTGTGGACATAAGAAATGTGAGCATATTAAAGGTTTGCTCATGTTATATAGAAAATATCAATGTGAGATTTGTTTTGAAATATGTGTGTTTTTTTAAAGAGTAGCTAATAATATTACTGCATTTGGCATCCATTACAGCTATGATGAAACAGCTGCCGCATCTATTCACTATATCAGTTATGGCAACAAATTTCTTCATTATGACAGTAAAATGGAAATGCATCATTCTTCTTGTACTAACTTTGTACAACAGAGGGTGCTTGGTGACAATTTTCTTAATGTGTGTGACATTTCCAAAACAAATTATGCTCAAGAAAACCTTCCACTAAAGTTGTCATTTATATAGCAGTCAACTCTTGTATAATGTTCACAGCTTATGTTATGAGGTGGCTACACTGTTAAAATTTTAATATAAGTGGGACTGCAAAGTATGAACAGTATTGCAATGTGACATGATTTATGGGTCCCATTGAAGCACCTTGTAGTCTGTGTGGTGTTGTCAGTTGTCTGATTACAGTTGAGACATTTAATCACTCTTATCTTCCAAATTTGCAAAATACAAATAAGTTGTTTAACATGATTACAAGCTCTGTTCTCACCTCTTCTCTTCCCTTTGTAGAAAATTGCAGGAGACACAGATGTCGACAGCCTCGAAGCTGGAAGAAGCCGAACACAAAGTTCAAGCTTTGCAAACAGGTTTGGCATCGCTATTCTGACCTATACCAATGATCAGGCTGGAGGTGAGAGGATAGAGATCATTAAATGTATCAGGACTGTGTGTGAACCAGCTCTTGCAAGTGCAGAGAGATCCAACAGAGCTTGAACGTGCTTTGTGAATCGGAGCTTCTTTTGGGCTTCACCCCTTAAGTGAACACTTGTGTTGCAGCCAGTCTATTGGTAAATACGGTGGACAAGCCCAAGCATGAAGCGCGTACAGCATTAAAGCATCGCTGCAATTAAAGCAGGCTATGGAACTTTTCATCCATGTTGTGTTTTGCTCTGGTTTCACACATTTCTGAACTATGATAAATACATGTACAGTTTCTACCAGTGTGTCTTGCCTGTTGCTATGACTTGCTTGCCATTAATCTTCATATCTGCATACTTAGAGATTCCAGGTCTGGACACATTTGGTTCTGTTTACTATGAGAACACAAGAAATTTTATTCCCTGAATTACTGCAATAAATATTTCAAATGAAGCAGTTTAGCCAGCTTAATAAGAAATTAATAATGTCTAGCTTTGTTAAGCAGAAACTGGGAATTTTTGCAATGTAAAAGAAATACCGTAAGAGATTGTGAAAAATCATAAGCTATGTTTTTTCTAAGTCATAATGGTTTGCCTAGGTAGAAAGATAAAGCAAAGAATTTTTCATCAGGAGGTGTACAGCTTTATTTATGGCTGAATAAAAGAAAAAGGAGTAGTCTTTTTGCTTTTCACTGCTGTTACAGTGCTGTAATGCTTCATGTTTATGCCTTTTAGCCTTGGAAAAAACCAGAACAGAACTATTTGATCTGAAAACAAAATACGATGAAGAAACTACCGCAAAGTAAGATTTCACTGTTTTCTTTCTACGTCTTCCTTCAGGGTATCACTGCTTTTTTGTTTTGCATCTGTCTGTTGGAGACAGACGAGATGGAAGAGGTTCAGGAGTCCAAATTTGTTGGAAAACATGGTCATAATTTGGCCTCCTATAGAGAGGTTATTAGTCTTCATATTTCCTTCCACCCAGCAAGACACTTTTCTTGGCACACATGCTGCTGCATTCCTGGTTTCATTCTCAGGTGCTGCATCTACTATGTATCTCTTATACTATGAGTATCTCATATTTTATTTAGAAATAGGGCGATTTCAGAAATAAGATATTTACTGTGATCTTCCAATCTTGATGAAAATAAAATTTAGTTTAGTAAAGGTTTTCCATTTCACTGTTAGGCACCCTGGTTCTTTCTGCTTTTGGGGTAGCAGTCATCACTGTCAAATTCACCCCAAATGACAGAGAGTAGCATTTTTGGCAGATTTTTCTTGTTTTCAAGTAGAACATGAAGGTAGTCTCAAAAATATATACCCTTGTCGTCTTAATGGCTACTGTTTTCAATTATCCCCTGGTTTTATTAACAATCAGTGCAGGAAACAACAAAAGAGAGACAGACTTCTGCTGTTTTTCTTTGAACCCTTCATATTTAAGGAAAGTTAGTAATGAGAAGGAATTCTCATGATCAGCAGTATTAAGCCCAAAGAGCCATTTCTGTGTCTGGAAATGGGATGGGAAAGAAGCAGCCATTTCAGATGGGTGTTCCTGGCCTGCTGTAAGGGCAGGGGCTGGAAGCCGCACATTACATCCCTGTGCCCTCTACCCGCGTCCTGCAGAGCCCCAGCTTCACCTCCGCTTCCAAGTAGGCAGGTGATCGGGTTAACGGAGGGGAAAATCCTTGCTCCTGCGCTTACCACCCATTCTGGTACAGGAGAAATGGTAAGGGAAGGCTGTTGGCAGGCTCCGTGTTGGGGCAAGAGAAACTATAGCCTAGGCTTGATGGGAGGAATGACATGGTCTTGTTTTTGTCTGTTGGTAAGTGCTTTCTGGTATGGCTCTTGGTAGTCTAGATAATACAGATTTTTCAAAACCGGTCAAATTGGCAACAAGTCTTAATTTCTTAGCGTGTGGTTCTGCGAGCGTTGAGGAGCTGATTCCCCACTGAGTACATGGGGAACTTGGAGCTTACAAAATTCAGTCCATAGTAGTTAAGAATCAGCACTTGGAGTTGAAACACCCTTTACATCATTCAAGATAATCTTTGAGGTAAATTTTGGGTTTGCTCTGTAAGTCCAGTTTCCTTTGAGTTCCATATAAGATGATCAAAAGTATTTTTGTTCCCTTATTGATTTCATCCTTCTCTAAGAGACGCATACTAATGATGTTTCTGATGGAGCCTTAAATTACTGCAGATTGCCTTTATTCTTTTTTCTGCACGTAACTGATGCTGGCAGCTCTGTTGCTGTTATTTTGTTTTGCAGTTGCTTCTGCGGGAACAGTCAGAGATCAGGGCTCAGTGGTTGTAGGCACTGAACCTAATAACCCCTCCCCCTTTTAAATGTTTTTATTTGCAGAGTGATTGCTTCATTTTTTAATACTATTTCCCTAAGTACTGTAATTTATCTTATACTGAGCAAAAGATGTGCTCTAAAATGTTTGTTTGCATTTCTAATGCGTTTCATTCTTTCAGAGAGATTCACATGGAAATATTTTCACATGATCTTGAATATGATTCTTACCTAATATATATATAGAATTACATAAAATTAGTAGCATCTGCAGTAACAAGAAGTTTATTGTGTGCTGTAGCAGAATGATTGTGAAGGCTGGGTCTGGGATATAGTGATCATGGAGCTGAATCCTGAAGCAGACATTAAGCATGTACTTTATCTCCCAAACTAATGTACTGTGAAAACAAACTTGTAGGACCTAATAACAGCAGAAATATTTTATCATTGTTTTGGATAGTTATGGCAGGAATAGTTCTTGCATAACAACAGTCATCTGTGGCATTTGTAGCCCAAATTTTGCAATATGGAAATCTAGAAAAACATGAAAAGGGAACTGAATGTAGACAGTGAAATTGAGTCATCTATTTTAATTGTAAAAGCTGGGAGCAATGTTGAAAACACACCAATAAAAACGGTGAAAGACAGTTTGATTCTTTTCTAAAAAGAAACCCTCTTTTGATCTAAGTCTGAAAAGCTACTTGTATTGCCAATTTTAATTTTATGTTTTAAAAACATGTGATTTTTATCTCAGGCCAGAATTGTTAGTTTTACAGACGCTTATTTGATGCAGATGAATTGGATGCAGATGAATTTTCTCCTTCAGGAAAAAAAAAGATAATTGTCAATTTTTTAAAGCTAACACTGCTTTTAAGATTTTCGGTTTTGGAATAAAGCTGTCTTTCAACTGTTTGTAACTTTGAAAATCTTTCAAACAAAAAAAAAGAAATACACAGTAAGAAGTCTTCAATATCGGCATTAAGGAGTCTGGATTTTGTCCTAGCGACTGGTTGTTGTGATCCTGAAGTTGGAAATCATTATGTCAACTTGTTTGTTTATCTTTTCCAAATGTCCCCGTTCAAAGTACTATGTGCAAAGTGAGGTACGGAGGTACTGCCTGAACTTGATGCTAGCAAGGCATCTTCAAATGAGATCAGTTGCTGAAATTAAAATCTTCAGTCAAATTAGCTTCTGTCATCCCAGTCTATAAAAATCCCCCGTTCCCTTTGCCAGCGAGCAGGTAACGTGCGTACAGCGGGAGCAGAGGTGCTGCCTGTGCCCCTTCCCCTGGCCCCTGCATCACGCAGATACCCCGTGTGCAGGGCGCTGAAGGTGTTAATGACAAAAAGAAGTTTATTGTGTGGAGTCATTGCAGTCTGTCAGCTGGAATATCAGAAGCTGAATTTGACAAGATGGCAGCAGCAAAGTTTTCCATGTGTAGGCTTGAAGTAAAATGTAATTAGCCTTTATGTGCAGAACAAGGATCCATTGATGAATACAGCTGGTCTTTGTTTTCTTCTGTCATTGAGTGTGGGAGGTAAAAGTGTTCTTCTTCATGTTTATTAATACAAGATTCCTTAGACAAATGGCAAGCACAGTTTAATATTTGTTGGAACACAGAGGGGCTTGCCAAAACAGTTGTTGTGTAAGAGGATTTCAAGGTTTTCAGATTATAATCATCTCTGGGTTAAATAAATGAATGATTACTCTGCCTTTTTCAATTAAAGAGGCACATCCTCTCTCGAGGCCTGATGCTGATTTTGTTTGCTGTCCCACACGTTTCTATCAGCAAACCTGGATTTAACCAACACTAATGAGCTTGGTCTGGAGATTCTATCAGAGCTGGAACTGAAGAGCAAACTCAGACTTGAGTTTCAGGAAAATTAAAGAATGTTGGGTGTTTTTTTTTCCTAGTGCAACAGACTTTTTTTTCTTCCTCTTCTGTAGAAAAAGAAACATTCTTGTATGCATTTCCTTTGTTTTCTGGGGACAAACTGTTCTCCTTGCTAACGTTGCTCTTTCACTTCTGGTTCACTGCAGAGTCTGAGCAAGTGTTCGGGATTCCCAGCTGAGCTGCTTCTGGTTCACTGCAGAGTCCGAGCAAGTGTTCGGGATTCCCAGTTGAGCTGTTAATGCTCCCAGCCAGAATGGTCGAATTCCAGTTTTAGATCAATTCCAGAGCCACCTCTTTGCTCCGACCCCTCCTCTCCCCCAGCCTAAATTAATTCTAATTGGAAAAGGATCTTTGGTTCTAGCACATACAGTAGGCTTGTTACATTACTGTTAACATGTGGGCTGAGGCTCCCTCCCTTTGATGAAAGAAAATATCAAATTTCACTGAAATGCTACGTTTTCACCAGTAAATATTAAGTAGTCTTGTGAGGATTTTAGGTTCTGTCCCCCCTTCTGCAATAAAAAGCTTTCATAAACAACACAAAGCAAAAGATGGTTAAGGTTGTCAGTCAAAGCAGCTCTGCTACCAGTTTTGTTACCTCTATGGTTTTCTGAAAGATGCAGACTTTTTGTGCTTCTAAAAGTAGCGTATGCATAGAAAATGCAGTGGAGGAGGAGGTTTTCATATTTACTAAAGGAGTCATCCTAAAACAACTATTTTCAATAACTTGTAGAAAAATATTTTGCCTTCCAGTATATGAAGCAGAGAATTGTTGCCCTTTTATAGATTCGACTGATTATTATCTTTTTTGGCACTACAGCTAAGGATGACACAGGACGGCATACTGGTGTAGCGTCATTAAGACTGTACACTGGTGCAATATTGCAAATTACCCCACCGTATAGATCCAGCCGACTTATTTTAATCCTGGACTGCATTTTAATGAAAACTAAACCTGGAAATGAATAGAGTGTGGTTGATGAAAGTGCGGTCTGTGAGCTGGCAGTCCCTGCTTTACGATAAAGGAGAGTTTTTCATTGTTTTTGGGCCTGACTCTGTAAACTTGACTCACAAGATTTCAATATCAGTATTTAATACTTCTTTTCTTGCAGTGGTCGTAGACCTCGGTCAGCGAGGCTGGGGATACCAGGGTGGGCACTGCACATATCTCTTACAAAGGCCGTCTCTGCCCTAAAGAGCTTACAGCATGATATCATGACAATGTAAAAGACGTTAATGAAACAAATAGGTAGAAGCTCAGGAGCGCGAGGACAAAGTAATGCCTATTTTCATCCCTATATCCCGCTTGAAAATAAATCCTTGAGTAATCTGCACAAAGTCAGAGGTGGGTGACAGATGGGGAGTGCTGGGGCAGAGGCAGGCGATGGTGTCAGACAGGCAGGAGGGCTGCCAGGGAGGGACAGCAGGCAGGTAAACAGCTCCTCGTGTTACCTGCACGCAAGCGCAAGGCACTCAAGTCTCCTGTTGTGGGGAAAGGAAAAGGTTTCATGGATTATACGCCAAAAATACAGTAACAGAAGGGGATGCCTGTGTTTTTTGGCTGTTTGGGTGAAGGGTGCTGCTCTTCCTTATCCATTATCGAATAGACCTGT